TGTATGTCTGAATACGTGTAAAGATGACTTCCGTCATGAAGAACTCGTTAAAGCACTATAAATTTTATCTTAATGCTCAACGGTTCTGAAACAAGAGAATTTTTTTTCTTTTAATATCCTTTCATAATATATATGTATGCAATGCTAGCAGCTATGCTATTTTATATTAAACTTTAATAATCCTAGCTTTAAGGCCTTCGTTTTACGGCTGAGCATCTGGAGAACCAGGATGTTCGAGTCGGTTCGGGTCGGGCCAAGTTTAGTTAAGTCTATCTGTTTAGTAAGCCTCAGTAACAGCCCGGAGTTGGGAAGTTAGCGGTGCTTCACCCCCGTGCCTTGGACACTATAATATCTCCTGCGCAGATGGCTAGTCTCAATGAGAATGGCCACCGTAGCCGAAATCGATCAGGACATTATTATTAAACTCAAAACATGATAACATAAAATTTTATATCCCTACGTCATAAGTTTCAACATAATCGGCTTAGCAAAACCGGACGCTGTTCGATCTCCTACCAATTTGCATAGGAATCTAACAGTTACTTTATTACATGTAAATGGTTGCAAAACGAATATATTTCTATTGTGTTAAAGGAATTTACAAATAATTTCCCTACGCAGCTTTCGCTCTTTGCATTCTAATAAATCCAGAGATTGAAAGATATAGGTCGGAGTCAGACAACTGTGGCCTGTTTGCACTGTCACAACAAATTTTACATGAGTTGCACGTTCAAGTTACTACCAGGAAAACTCGAATCGATAATAGTAATAAAGTTGACATTAATTTTTATCGATTTTCTTAATACCTAGCTACTATATGGTACTACATTATAAGTATGGTATTTCCTGTGGAATAAAAAATTATAACATACTTCATAATCAATTATTCCTACCACTTTCATACACCACAATTTCCTCTAACTAACATAAAAAAAATTGCATTCTAAAAACAAAGATTGAAATTTATTTATGCTTGGATATCGAACCGGGATCAACCATCTCAGAAGTCGGACCACAACGATTATATTATGTACATCAATGATTTAATCAGAGAAACTCAACTATAACTGCTTTGCTTTTTTATGTAATGTAAAATAGCTTATTGTTTTATTATTATATCCACCTATTTTCCCGATCTCACGCAACTTTAACCATTAACTGTACTGTTCAAGTTGTTACTTTGATACACACTTTGAAACAAGTTCTTAACAGTTCTATTCTAACATTTTTTTCCCGAGCTTTATTTTCGAGTATATCAACGGTTTTATTATTATCTTTATAGTAATACGTGGTATTTATTAGCAATCCCATAGGGGAATAAGAATAGTCTTAAATTGATATATTAGAATTTGATACTTCGTGCTAATATTATGACTTTAATTTGAAGTAAGTACATACCTATAAAAATATCGTATTGATCATCTGAATATAATATTAATAATATATAAATGAAACTCGACAATTTGTTAGGATTGCGCATGTTGGTTTGTTTGTAATTCGCAAGTCACAGATAAAATTATTGTATCGGGGACGTCTTTATGATTGAGTTACTACAGATTTAAGACTTTAGATTTTTCTACTACTAGATCTTTTATCGCTTCTTAAAATAAGTATTTAGTAGTAACGCGTAAGACGACGAATTTACAGCAAAAGGAAAATCCAATAAATATTATAGATCCTATTCTTGATACTACATTCTCACTCAAATCCCAAATTAACGACAATATTTTCGAGTCCTCTTCGAGTACAATTAGTAATGAAAGTTACTAAACAAAATTGTTTTCTATCTATAGCTACTGAACCACACTGACATATTACAAATTGTAAATTTAAACTGAAATTTGATTGTATCACCTTACAATAAGAAACGTACCAAATCATGACATTTATGTATAGCTCTTGACATGCCATGTTTCAAAACACTGTACGATGCGAGACTTACAACATTGCGTTGTGAGTTCCCTTTGTTGGTCTGATAAAATATGGTGTTATATCTGACAGTCTGTTCTTATAAGTTGTTTTATGCCACTACTGATTCTATACGTTTGATCTGCTTCCGATTTTCTGTGTAAATTTATATTTTCTTATATGAATTCATCACTAAATTTACTTTCTAGAATTGAAAATAAATTATAATATGAATTTTTAAGTCCAATTATATAAAAATAAAATATATAATATAGAAATAAAATCTAAAATATATAAGTACTAATAATATAAAGAGGCACAGTTTGTTTGTTTGTTTGAGCGCGCTAATCTCAGGAAATACTAATCCAATTTGAAAAATTCTTTTTGCATTAGATAGCCCGTTTATATATCATCATGCTACTACCCAAGGGAGCGGAGCAGTGTTATAATATTATAGTATTCCTATTCCATACTAACCGTTAAACACATCTAAGGACGTACCCGAGTGAAGCGAGGCTGAGCCACTAGTATGTTTTATGAAAAAAACAGAAATTCTTTTGGTCTATAAAACCTAGACATTTTAGACTTATATTATTGATGTAATGGATAAATACCATATAATATTTTCAGGCAAGCGATCGTGCAATAAAAGCGCTTTAAAATGTACCACCGATATCAAGATATCACATTCAATATACGAAATAAACATTACAGTATCTAGTTTCCCATTAAAACTAAATAATAAAAAGCAAACGATCTCGCAAAAAATAATATGTAAGTATAAATTAAAACCATTTAATCTACAGTTATTTATGAGATAAATAAATCATCAAATAAACAAGAACTCGGTGACAGCAACAATGGCAGATCAACATCACTACTAACCTCATACGTTACCAAGACACGCGTGTGGCCTGAATAATGGCGGAAACAAAACCTTTCTTTCATCATATCGCTTTCATTGCTCAAACAATTCATTTGCCGAGACAACAGACGAGTCACAAAGGGATAACGTGACGAACGCGGAAGGATATCTAGATACGTCTCAGACTAAGCTTTGTGACTAGATAAGTCTGGATATTACCGTTAATCTAAAAAATAATGAATGCTACTAAGAAAAATGTATACTCTCCAAAAAATATTTCCACGCGATGTTTTCTTTCATCGTAATGCGAGTGGTAATGATATTGAAAATTCAACAGTCAGTCATAACAGTGGTTAGCGATTTTGTCGCTACAAATTGCTTAAACAAAAGTCGTCATTTTTTTGAGTATCATATACTTTGACGTCACGCCAAGCGCGCGAAATGGCGGGCGCTTGAAATATTTTGAAATATTCGTATCGGTATAATATATATATATATATATATATATATATATATATATATATAATTTATACTGAAATTTTATTTTTTGGAACTGGATATTTATTTACAGTTATATAACGATGTAAGCTATTGCATAAAAATTTCAAAAATGACGCGTATTAAGTCGCAAGTCCGATTTTTATACGGAGCGAATCTTGCTTACTTAGAGGTAATAAACCAAAAAAACTATATGTATACATATTCTGATTTCTTGGCATAATGCTTAGCTCTGTTATTTTCATATGTTTATCAACCATATTAATTATAAAAATTATTTTAGCCATATTAATCGTAAGGGCGTCATCTTGTTGATGCCCTCAGATCTAGAAAAATTAAGAATGTTGTTAGGAACAGTTTTTTTTAAATGTACCAGTGATACGAGGGAAGTGTAACTATTTCGTAACTCGTCCCATTCGATATTCAATTACATCGTAATTACAATCTTCAATTTTAAATCTTCACATGATAAAATTACCATGCGATATGTTGTCGAAAATAAATTAACATATCGTAGATTATGATATTCGAGAGGAATAAATTCACCTCAATTGAACATTGCCTAAATATTGCATCATCTTAAAAATAAACCAGATTTCACGCGAGTATCACAACTATAATAACAAGGAGTGCTGAAACACTTTGCACTCAATATATCAAAAAATTTAGGAGTAGGTAGATACTATTTATTTAACGTTTAGTATAGATTTCTCAGAGATGAGATATTTTCCCGCAGTAAAAAGTATCGCAGTAGATAAACAGCTATAATCTTACCAAATTTCTTCCAAATATGTCCATTGGTTTTCTTGTGATTCCCAGGCAAAAATTCTAAAAATATATATATAGATATAGGTTTGGCCTCTATATATATTTCAATAAGATTTTTCTATATACAATTATTAGATCTTGCAATATATATTATGAAATTTATTTCATACGAAATCATAAAATTATTAAAACAATTAAATGTGTTAACTATTTAAACTTTATAAATATATTTCCAATTTTTATATATCTATTTTCCCTTGTAAAGCCCAGAGAGTTTATACACTTTCGCATAACACCTATAATAAAGAGATAGATAAAGCAAAATGAGATGAATCAATGATTGTTGTACTATTTTTCGATTACCGTTGTCCAATTTTACTCCTTTAGTTAATTAAATGCTTCTTAATTAATTTTAACTTTTTAAATTACACATAGAACAATTATGTGGCTTAAATAATTAATATTATATTTTATATATTTTCTTTGTGGTTATAAACATAATAATGGCAACACAAAATATAGATTACTAATTAATATTTTTAAAATTGTAATAATTATAATGATAATTATAGGCATCCTGTAACAACTATACCTTCGAGACATCTAACACCTCAGTCTCTCCCGTGACCATGATTGCTGTAAAGCATTCGAAACGTCGGGTACCAAAAATCAATATAAATCCGCGAAATAATCCGAAAAGATAGTTTTATTTAAAATAATTAAATGCTTTAGATAACCGCCTCGGTGTGTGCCAGTGGCGAGCATGTATGGCTACAGATCGGAGGTCCTTGGACCGGGTCAGATAGAGTTATCGCGTTTTTCTATCAAGAAATTCTTAATAACAGCCAGGAGTTAGGTTAGTGTTAGTGATCGCACCGGAATTAGATAGTGCAATTTTGAGACAGACAGTGTTATTGGCAGCCGTGACATTATTAAATAAGATATTTAATAGTTATTTATAATGTTCCAGGTGCTGTGTGGGGCAGTGGCGGGCGCAGGCGACATGATGGGAAACGCGAGCCGCGTGCGCCGCGCACCCCAGCCGCACCACTCCCATCGCGTACTGTAAGTGTATAAAGTAAAACCTTAGTCTCTCCCGTAACCATTATTGCTGTATAGCATTTGAAACGTCTGGAACCAAAAATCAAAAAGATACTTAGTTATACGATTAAAATGTCAAATATTCGCGTAAATTTAAGAAAGATTAAATAGACATTTATATTTTTAGTAGCTGACCTAACAGACGTTGTTCTGTCCAAATCTTCGTTGTGATCTTTTATGTCTCTCTCCCTCATTAAAAAACTTGTAGAAAAAAACCACCTGAACTTTTATGCAAACATTCTAATTTTCAGGAACTTTATCGGTTTATTTCGATCTCATAACCTTATTCAAATTATTGCGAACATTTTAAAATGAAAATTAGCTTAATAGGTTCTGCCATTCTCAAGTGACAAGCGAACAGCCTTTCATTTTTGCATTCAAATAATTATTTTTAAAAACTTGTTTATTTATCGTTATATTATTTATATGAAATGCTTTTGCATAATATTATCTAATATATGCTTTATAACCACATCCTTTCTTGTTGCAGTTCATACATTTTATTAATTAAATTACTTTTGATTATAATTCTAATATTCTAATATATTTAATTATAATTCAAAATGTAAAACCTACAGTGTATTTGATCAATCGATTGGGTTGCTATTAAGCATTTTAACCTACCATCTGTATTTATTTTGACTTTGGTCTGTATTTCACTAGCACTTTATCAAAGCAAAGTGATGTTAGTCAGGATGATCTGATTCCTGGAGTAAATTCTTAAAAATTTCTGTCTTTTTATACTAAAACTGAAGTATTTGAACAACTACATACAAAATTATTTGTTTAGCAAAAGCTCGTGGATCTATAGAAATCATTGAGTCACATTCAACATTTTTAATGTACTTTCTAATTTAAGCTCATAAGTCATATTCGTATATTAGTATAACAGTATTTCAATCTTATATTTATATATAAAACAAAGTCGGGTTAGTTACACCATTTATAACTCAAGAACGGTCGGACCAACTTTTATGTTCTTTAATTTGTTGAATTTGTCTTCGCCTCGAATAACAGAATAACTATTATAAAATATCGTAAATATAATGTTCATAACTATTTATATCCATTTAAAACGTATGTATCCGAGCGAAGCGAGAGTGATTCGTTAGTATGTATTATATAAAATATAAATATTTTTCTTAGTTTATCCTACAAATTTTATATTAAAAAAAATGATTCGGGGAGCGAAAGACTGTTTTTTTCCGCTTCAAATATTTCCCGTCTCTCCACAAAAAATATAAATATAAATGTATTCAATATAAAGCCTCATCAGTTTGGCATCAACATCATACACGTAATGAAATTACAAATATTATGATTATCGTTCATTTTCATCGGTCACCGGCGCCCGGTCGTTTAGATTCATTCAATAATATACCCAAGATAATAACGTACCTGTTTTAATTAAGCAGATAGCATTTTAATTTTCTATCAGAAGACATCATTTGCATTCGTATCTCTTATCTTAAATTACTAAATATTTTATTTTCCCGTTCATTTTTTTGTACATGAATTAGTTTTTTGTAATTTTAATTTGAACCATTTAGTTTTAGTGTAAAGTATTTTGTGCACTTTAAAAACTATAAATAAATATATAAGGCTGCATAAAATTAGATACATCTTGAGCTTTTGTCCTGAAAAGAGAGTCGAACCTACAATATGTAGCATGTACTTGATCATAACTATCCAATATTTGAGCACGGCAATATTAAAGAGACTTGAATTAACATCACCGGAAATACTAAATTAGCGGATTTCAAAACATAACCACGATATCTACACGTGAATCCCGCTGTGATCAAATGTTTTAAAATTTAATTTATAATATTACGATTTTTCAAGTTACACAATATAATATGATAATTTTGTACCAATCAAACGTCAATATTTCAATCTATTCAATCGCATTCTTAAATTCAACTGGCACAATGGACATTTATTGTATGGAGAATTACAAGTTCGATTTCCGCTTTTAGGCCATTTCTTTATTTTTCTTAGTTTATATGAAATATTCCTCATGAACTTGACACAAAATATTTTACAATCGATAAATTACCACGTTCCTATTAATTTGACACTTGACATATAGAAATCAAATAACAATAACAGCCTTTAACAAGAAAATTGAATTGAATTGGAATAGTAATATCTATTCATGTTCTGTTATTGCGAGAATTAAGAACTTTTCGTAGAACTTTCATTTATAATACAGATTTCAGTATGAATCTTGTTTTTTCTAATATTACAGGCCAGACGAAGAATTAGACGCGACGGCGGCGTGGAAACGGTCGCATTGGCGCGAAATGCAAACAATTTTAAGGAAGGAGGGCTCCCAAAAAGATGTTGTAGAGTGCTGTCCGTCCGTCCTCGAAATGGTAGCCAAGAAGGGCGGTCGGACGCCAACCGGGCTCTATGTAGAGTTATACGAGGACGGTGAACACAAGCAAAGGCTGTACGAACTGTCGTGTGCCCCCGAGGTCGTCGACATGCCGTGTCGGTTTGTGGACGCCCGACTTTACAATCAATCTAGGTGCGTGCAAAAGTATTCCTATTCATACGCTCTAGTTAGATATTCTTCTGCAATTGACATGCAGAAACATCGTCCTGAAGGACATTTTTCGGTACCCGGTTCCGGCGGTTGGTCTATGGATTACGTCAAAGTGCGGGCCGGCTGCGAATGCCAAATAACGCCCCCGAAAAGAAAAAATCCTCACAGAAAGAGACTAGAAAGGCATAGACAAAGGAAGCGGAATAGACGTATAGATGAAGACGATGACACTTGACGTGAGTTATGAACTTTGAACAAATTTATTCCCGACTTAGTGTAGGTCGTAGCATCTCATCACAGTGACAGTGTTGAATTGTGAACTACTGGATATTTTTGTGTTTTTATTGTGTACGTATAATAAAAATGTATGGTTGTCCGTCGTTTGCGTCGAATTTTATTTAAAATTTATAAACTTGGCATACCTTGTTGGTCTTATTAAGTATACTTGTCAATTTTTTTTAAAGCAAATGCGGACAAAAACGCGCACAAATGCTAGTGTATATACAGAATTCAATAAGTTGCCATATGAAGGATGCTACGGCACTTAGTAGTATAAACGTTACCGACGCCACGTACGCTTGGTCTATCTCGGTATTAAATTGTATTTATTTTGAAATTTTCTATTTATAACGCTTCTTGTCTTATTAACTTCGGTCTTATGACACAGTGCCTTCACTTTGTGCCTTATTAAAAAAAATGTCAATTAATCATGGCGGCTTTACACTTGTTAGATAATCAACTTTGTATACAAAATTGATAGCTTAAATTCATGTATTTATGTGAGTGACCTCAAAAGTAATTTTTTTACAGATTTTAATTATGCTTATGAATATTCTATTTATATTCAATATATAAATGTTAAACACACATACTGGTAAAATTCTAAAAATGAAGTTAACATTCGAAGCTTTAGGCACGAGGTATGTTTTGTAAAATTAAGCCACAACGCTTTGTTTTAAACGTATTTAACAGTTTAAAGAAACACATTACTTAGAGCCTTATACGTAATTTGTTTAAAAAATATCATTTATTATAAATCGTTATAACTTACAATATGTTATAGAAACTGGATATTAATAAAATAAATCTAATAAACTTATGAAAAAGTATTAAGAATAACCTCTTTTTTGTGTTTTCATCGTGTACGTATAATAAAAATGTATGGTCGTCCATCGTTTGCATCGAATTTTATTTTAAAAAAAACTTGGCATACCTTGTTGATCTTATTACTTGTCAATTTTTTAAAGCAAATGCGAACATAACATAATACAGTATTCAAAAAGTTGCCATTTAAAGTCGGTTAAAAAACATGATCATGATATAAAAGTAGCACCACTATTTGAATAGACTTTGCAAAAGTAATAAAACAAAGCGATATGTCCTTATTGTTAATGCTCTCTTATCTTATGAATTAAGAATATTTATTCGAAAAAAAAAACTTTTTTTTATAAAAAATTTTTTGTTATTGTATTTTAATGTACTTCCTTCGTAGTTTTAAGTGTCGAGTCAAAGATCTGTATTATTTTCTATTTTGTAATACTTTTATTATATTTAAAGTAGGTTAAGTTTATTCATTTATTTATATTGTAATACGAGGTATTCCGTTATATAGATAGTTTAGATCGCTTCCGTAATAACATGTATATAATAACAATAGTATTATGGACTGAGATTATTTTGTGCATTTAAATGTGGATATGAAATTTAAATACACAACATTCTACAAAGTAGATTTTACGCCATCTGCTGCTGGATAGCTGACTTTAAATTTACATGTATAGATGGCGTTAGTTACAGTTATTTTATTACTAGCAACACTGTCGTCGTGTCTTTTGTATTTGTACTTCGGATTCTATTTTCGAAAATGACGTTTTTAATTGTTTAAATAAAGCTGTTATTCATGAATTTTCATGAACGTATCTTTAAAGATTTTCTTTCGCATTACGACGACAGAACCGTGCCATTTTTAATTATAATACATAATACCAGGAATTGTTGAAATGTATTTTAGTTGTAAACCGTTGAATTAGTCGTACTTATTTTGTATTTATTCTCAATTTACTCGTACCAAATTATAATTTTCTAGATTAACATGAAGCTACCTACTTAAAATTATTTATTGTATGGAAATGTGAGTAAATTTGGGATATTGGTTAACAGTGACTTATTATCACAATTCGCTACAGATGTAAAATAATTGTTGACAAAAACACAATTTAATGAAATAAAAAACTAAAATAAAAACAATAGTTTTATTATCCAATATTAAAAATCATTGTATACACAAAATTACGTCTTTATTTACAAATACCCTACAAAACTAAGTACATTCGATATTTTGTGAGTTTAGTTAGGACTTTATAAATGCACAGCGTCTAATATTGACTCAAAAATATTTTCAACGATTTTTGAGTCAATATTATTTTTTCTTTAATATATATACTACTATCATAAATAAAGAGGATAGATTTGTATTTTTGTATGTTTGTAACGAATAAACTCAAAAACTACTGGACCGATTTAGATGAAATTTGGTATAAAGATAGTTTGAGACCCTGGGAAGGACACAGGATACTTTTACACTGGAAATCATCCCTTAATGGGGTGAGAATAAGGATGAAAGTTTGTATGGGGAATTAACCAAGGAAAATCGGAAATTTGTGGTGAGCAATAAAGAATTTTCATTTGATTGATATATAATTACATATGAACTTTTCTGCTAAAAATTTCAGGTACCAAAAATATTGTCAGGTCGGCATTGACGTCAATTTCAAAATATGACAAACGAGGTTTACTAATTACACAATAAAAAAATAAAATACTGCTAGTACTTAAAATTACTATAATAATAATTAATTATTAATTATAATAGCGTAATACTAGTGGTTACCTAAAAAGCTTGCTAAATATTATCTATACTAATATATATATATATATATATATATATATTAATATTATCTATACTAATATATAAAGAGGTAAAGTTTGTGAATTTGTGAGTTTATGACGTTATAGGGGAGGGGGTACTTAATCTCTGGATGTACTGAACCGATTTAGATGAAATTTGGTAAGAAGATAGTTTGAGACCCTGGGAAGGACATAGGATACTTTTTATCCCTAAAAGCATCCCTTAAGGGGGTGAAAATGGGGATGAAAGTTTGTATGGGCAATCAATATGCGAAGCGAGGGTGAGTCGCTTCTACTTATATAATAAAATATATAATTATATATGTAATACGAACATTAAACAAGTCAAATTAAAATCTAAATAAAGTCTTAAATTATTGTAACAAAATAGAAGAATAAAAAGATTACGGTGCATCGTGATCTGAAAAGAAAAAATATATTACATTTAACAATGTCATTTGCAACTTAAAAAATATTTATTCGATATTTCCGTTTCAGACTTCATTAAAAGGACCATAATTATAAAATTGAGCTGTGAAATCTGAGAAATAAACATTGAGGCAAACAGCAAGTTATTATAGACATAGCGAAGTTAATATGTCAATATGGCACCAAAAATTACAGAATCTAAATTATTTTTTAATTATATAAGTTGTATAAGAATCAATATATATTATTAATAAATAAGCTTACCCAGATATCTAGTCAATAAATACATGATCCCAAATCCAAAAACCACGGCTACAAACTGTGCCAGTCCTGCCCCACGCCTCCTTTCATGCCAACGCGCTCTCTCGCGAGGGAGCACTTCGCTTACCGTCACATAAAGGAGAGTACCCGCTGCCAGAGCCTAAAATCAATCGATAATTTTAATTAATGTTTTGTAAAACAAAATCGATTTAATTAAACTATCTTTTTGGATATTTTCGGGTATTTATTTTGATTTTTTTTATTTAAAATATTCAAATATTCGAGTAAATCTAAGAAAGTATTATTTAATCAAACCGATATTAGAGGATAATTGTTTTATAGACAATCAATTAATAATTGTCTTTTAAATCAAAATCTTTAATCATAAGTCATACCATACATCTTGAAATGCTTGGTGTTCGGTGTAGGAGCTCGAGATCTTATAGATATAATTGTTTCTTATAGAAGGAAGGAAAAACAACATTTTTGTTCATTCAACCCTTAAAAGAGTTAAAATATGGGAAGAAAAATTAAATGCAAGTTTATTATTTTTGTATTCAATCCCGTAATATCTTGGTACGAGTAAGCGACGACGACCACCATCAATAGAATATAATTTCAAAAATAAATAATACTTATATTACACTAATGACTTACCCTTGCTCTCCTCAAAAGAATTCTTAAGAGACTTTTGTATTTGTAATGTTTTAAACAGAAAGCGTCATCTTTTGGCAATTCATTACTATAATACAAGCCTAGAAGCCATTTTGTTTCTTCAGGTCATAAATAAATGTATTAAAATCATCCAAACGGTCCAGTCGTTTTAAAGCGAATGAGTAACAAACATACACACAAAAACACATACAAACTTTCGTATTAACAATAGTTTTAATTAATATCTACCTGCATAATAGGTATAGCAACGGAATTCTTTATAACATCGACATTGTTCAATGCCCCACCGATCCCGATCCCCGCAACAGATCCTCCACTGAACAGTAAAACACAAACTATGTGCATACAAATACGCCCAGACGTACTCTCGCACAACTCAATTCCAAGGCAGAAAGCTACAACGTACTTGTGACTTGCCACCGCGGCAAGCAGTAGAAGGACCTAGAAAACAAACAATTACATATATAATAAATAATTATATTATGTTCTGGAAAAAAATTAAAATGCTGGAAATAGAATACAGAAAATGGAATACAAAAAATATAGCAAAAACGGGCTTCTCTGGATGATATATTTTTCAGCCAAACCATAGATGTGGAAGAAAATGATTTTATGCCAATTTCAAAAAAGAAGGCTCTTGAGTGTAAAGAGAAATGAGCATCAAACAAAAATATAGTCAACTAAAATAATTATTTAAAATTTTCTATTTTAGCATTCATAAAATATCAAGCATTGTTTTATCATTTCTTGAAAAGTAAAAGTTAAAACTAATTTCCATTTAATTTAATTGTATTCTGCAATATTGGTCATAATTAAAACAAATGTTAACAAAGGCAACACTAAAACGAATACAATATGTCCTACAATGGTGAAACGTAAGTACTCAGTAGAAGTGACTTTTCCGGATTGCATTCCAGGTTGTGGTAAAAGATCCTATTTCGGAATAGAAAGTATAAAGGTCTCGATCGATAAGTGTGGGAAATGTTTTACAATGATTCAAATCAAATTATACTATATTCAAATAAACTTTCATGAGCACACATTAATCGAAAATTTTTACATTTTCAAATTTAAATTTAGTTGCAATATGTAAGCATAGTAATATGCTAACAGTTGCTGAAAAGAACCCGTATCCATACGTGAGACTCAACTAAAAATCAGTCCCATCCATTAACATCTACAAAGTATTCCGTGATGAAAAAATAAGCTTTGTCCAATAACATATTTTGATTTTTTGAACTAGCGACTCACCCTCGCTCCATTCGGGTTTGTCCCTAGTTACGTTTTAACGGTTAGTATAGATTTCTCAGAGATGAAATATTTTCCCGCTGTAAAAAGTATCCTGTATGTTGACCCGGATAATCAGCTATCATCATACTAAATTTTATCAAGATCTATTCAGTATTTTTCTCGTAATGCGTTTCCAGACAGACTGACAGATAAAAATTCTAAAAACTATAGATTCGGCTCTTTATCGATAATAATGACTATTTCAATAAGATTTTCCAAAAAATTATTTAATGTACAGATTCGGCTCAGTCATATATTATATGTATATATAGATTATGTAGCTAAATCGACTAGAATTTTATTATATAAAAACAAAAAAACCTAGCGAAAGCTTGGCTGTATGAGTTATATACAAGTTTTTGCCCGCGCAATAATGATTAATGATGATATGAGTGATAGGTACGCGGGGTAGGGATCAAGGATAGCCTATGTACGATTCCCAGGATACAATCTATATTTTATCGAGATTTGTGGACATTTAAAATATTAGTATAAGTTATGATAATTATGGAGAAAATCTTATGCGTCTGGTGCCTATTAAATAAAAGATTTTAATAAGGATATAGGACACACCCGACATCATTCAGGTGTAAAATAAGGCACTTAATTTACTTACTTACAAGATGTTCCTTTTGTTTTGATTAATAAAACTCAAATTATTCAATACAACTCGCGCGCCACCTATCAAACTTCAAAAGCAATTACTGAGGTATATATATCAAAAATCAAAATCTTTGCAAACATATCATAATAAAAACATCATTATTTTTATATGTTATCTACGTTTTTTTAATAAGTTACCTATTTAATATAACAATTCTTAAAAAAAAGTTTCAATTGAATAGGAAGTTCTATTCGTTATATTAGGTATTATTACAGTAAACATATAATAGATAGTCCATTTCGTTTGAAAATATATATTTACATTACGTACTAGTCCTCTACGTATGAATGGCTGGCTAAGGAATGGGCATTGTAGCGCTTGGAGGGTCGCGGATACGCCGGCATGTCAGTTTACAATTGATTTCCCGGAAACTAACCACAGAGACGCCTCCTAATATTACAATTATACATATTCCTTTGTATGTCAACTTGTCACTTTTTTTGCAAAGATTGCTTTACGAGAATACTTTTATCCCGCCCGCTTATCACGCGACCGGAACCGAAGACAAAAACTACTAAAAATAATTTAACATCAAGACTATTACTTAAGTAAATATTACATTTGGCTTGGGCTTCTGTTTATTCTTAATAAAGGAAGAGTCAAATGTACCTAATATTTGTTATTTTTAGTATGACATATAACAACGTTCCAAGAATAAAACCTTAAAATACTAATCTACTAACGCAATTATAAAGTATATATGAAGGATAGGTACATGATCAATATCTAAAGCTCATTGACAAAGTTAGCAATAAAACATTTTTAAATAAATTAATTACTTCACAATGTTGCTATATGAGAAGCCGAGACACTGTTTTTCCAGAATTTCAAACTAAATAAACCAAGCTCCTAAAGCTACAGCACTGAAAAAACATATTAACCACTTACCTTAGAAGCAGTCTTTTGCAGTCCAATAGCCAACCCTTCTAGCAAACTGTGCACAAACAGCGCACACAGCAATCCAATGATACCAGATGAACTCTTACTACATGGTTCTGAATGACTGACATGACACATCATAGGATTTTGGGGATCCCCATAGCATCTACCCAGTTCCCCATCAGTACCTCCCAACAAACTCGTATGCTCTCCACTACCGTATCTTCCACCACTTCGTCTTTCACTCGTTCCATAAAAAATGTGAACAATTTCATCAATCACATACACCAAGAAGAAACCAATACATAGCATTAGTTCTGAATAATTTGGCAACGTTTCTCTAGCTTCTGGTAGTATATGGAGTAAGGAGGTCGATAGTAAAACTCCTCCACCAAAGCAAAGCAAACAAGATATTAGTAAAGGATGTCGACGTCTTGCATTTTGGGAAATGTAGGCCGGAGCCATACCAAGAATGAAACTGCCGACTCCTAACGATAGCATAGCTAACGCCTTCGCTTGTGTCACATCCATGTTAATAAAACTAAAGTGCACTTGTCATAAACACTAAATATTTCAAATTTAATTGGAAAAGAATATTATTGTACGAATAAGTACCAAAACAAATAATATCGCGATCTAACAAAGTTAAAATGGGCAATCGTAACACTTCGTTCAGCTTATCTTATATTGACACACTGCTATCACACACGTGTTATCACAGAATTATTTCAAATTCAAATTATATTTAATAACTAATAACACGTCCGAAGCATTTTGTGGACATATTCGTAATGGTATTGGTCATACGGCATACCTTACGGAAATAAGTGCAATGATTTGATTAAAATTCATGCTTATGCTACTTTAGACTTTATTCACATATGATAAGGTTTAAAATCGTTTTATAACACATTCAATTAGATTTGTTTACAGTAGGTTTAAGAAGTATAGTTTATCCTAATTTAGTTTTTTTTAATAATAATTGAATCTTACAATCTACGTAAATACGTTAAGAAATATATTTAACCGATTTAAAGAAAGAGGAAGTTTTCAACTTCTTTGTATAAAATATATTTTTATGTACGAGTATGTTCGCGCAAAACTTCTGTGTTGTTTCGATCAGTTACAATAGCGCAAATAAACAATGACTCATTAAAACTGTCATTGCGAGTATGGTAACTTTGAAACTAATACATTACAGGCAGAGTTATGTGTTTGTTTGAACATGCTAATCTCAGAAATACTAATCCGATTATATACCATCGGCTATATATCATCATACTACTTACTACCCAAAGAAGCGGAGCAGTAATCATAAATATCAAAAAATCGGACAAACGAAGCCGCGGGTTCTACTAGTTTTGAAATCATTAAAAAACATTAAGTGTTGTGTATTTTCTAGTTTAAAGTAGGTACCTTCAAGTCAAACTTTTCACGCTTAAGCCGCTGAACAGATTTCGATAAAATTTAGGACTATTTGACATGAATATATTGCATCCTGGGGATGAGCATATGCTACCTTATAATATAAAAAAATACTATTTTTAGAATTATTATTAAACCATAATATATGTGGCACTTCAAAACAAATTAAATAAGTTCTTATTTAAAGGTTTAAGTAGTAGATACTGAAGAATTTTGCTATTCACCTCCTTGTTCCATCATCAGATATGACCTTAGATCTAAGATATAACATCATCGATCAAAATAGTACTAGCAAATGACATGCCCATGCAAAAGTTCTCATAAAACTGTCTACAATTGTGTTTAGGTAATTATTCTAGTTGAAATAAATATACAACAATGTAAATTGAACCTTAAATGCAATGCTTAAAATTGTTTTTACGAATTCTTAAATTAAAAACTCAAATATACAAATGAGCGCTCATTCGGTGAGGACAATCAATTATTGTATTTCTAATACTTTTTTGATCAATCTATAACATTACTGAATACTCACACAGATTTTACTTACAATGGTATAATTCGATACCACAAATATAAGTAGGTTAAAATCGACTTCCAAGATTTGATTAGATAGTTACAAGTGAACCTAATAAAACCGTTTTATGAATGTTATGGCGCGACAATCTCGACTATGATATATGTATACATAAGTATTATGTCATAGGGATATTGTGAAAGCTTTGAAATTATAACTAGTGATATTGTCAGAAATGGAGATGGTTGAAAAGAGTCCGTGTAATAAAACACGAACGTTTGTCAGTTATTTTATAATTTGACTAAGTACATTATACAAAAGCCTGTGAAATTGTATTTTTTATCCAGATCATAGTCTATATGGGTACCTAATTTTTTTGCATATATTATAATAGTAGTTCGATAGTATAAACTTTGTTGAAAAAATACATGTAACAAAGAAAATCTAGGAGCAAAAAAGTTTTATTACTAATATTATATATAATATTAATCTTAAATATAACATACTAGCAGAATCCGAGGCTTCGCTCGCGCTAAATCTAATCCTCTTCGCCAGAAACAATTATTGGTGGACTCCATCTATGTATATAATTCTTTAGTCTGTAGATTACGATATAATATTTTCATATTCTGTTTCATTACACGGACATGACTGTAATATAGGTTCTCATCTATACATATAATAAAATTCTAACTAAGCCGAATCTGTACATTGATGTGTAGATTGATCTGTACATTGATTTTGATGTGTAGTAATCGACAATATTAGTGTAAAGTGCCTCAAATGTATTGAATGAGTCAAACGTTTTATATTAGTCACTTTAAATAATGTTAACTAGCTTGGTACCTGTTTTTGTAATCTCGAAGGAAGAAAAATGATAAAGAAGTAAACAAGAAGAGTGAAGAACCTCTCTCCAGGTTTTGTGTAACAGAGAGTGGTATTCAGATGAGGAGCTAGAAGGTCGCTTATCCATGCTAATATTATAAATGTGAGTGTTTGTGTGTTTGTTTGTTGTCTTTCTTTCACGTCGAAACGGAGTTACGAATTGGCGTGATTTTTGGTGTGAAGATAGTTGGAGAGCTCGAGAGTGACATAGGCTACTTTTTATCGCAAGAGATCATCTCATTCACACGGGAAAACACGCTATAATACAATCCAAAAATGTATTTCTGATCGGAATTACTTGAAACTTGGTATTAATGCTCTTCAATACAATTAAATAAATACGTGTTCTAGCATTAACGTGTTCTGCTAGATTTTTTCTAAGTCATTTTCTACTTATTATAGTTATGGATATCTAGTTAATTTTTCAGTTATTTACTGCTTATGTCAAGTATTAATTAAAATTAAAACGGAAATTCTGTTTGTCACCATTTTCACGAATTAGCATTATATTTTTTTTTGTACAAACTACAGACTCATACCTATATAAAAGTCAGGCGGATCGAAAGATTACAATTCTTCGATTATTAATTAATGAATGAAATCACAAAAATTTTGAATATTCAAACTCTTCCGAATGATATTTTACTTAAATTCTTCGTAAGGTTTTATCAAGTTTATAATGAGAAAAACATCAAAGAAGTAAATTTTAATATTAGAAATGTCAAATAAAAAAGTCATTTAACATTTTAATTAATTGACGTGAACATTAAAGTAGGTACCTACTATAATATAGAACAATGAACGAACTTTTGCAAAAACATGGTTGTTCTAATGTATTCACAATACCGGAAGGTCTGAAAGAGCTGATGTCTGACATATCACGTGAAGTAAGTAATATAAATATATCATTTCACGCTTTTTATTGCCCTCTAAATAGCAACCTAGTAAATATAACTGATGTCACCGAAAAATCGTTGATTTTGAAAATATCCAACTAACAAAGTCATAGAAAACATAAAATTCGATTCACTTGTTACCAGGGTCCTATAACCCAATATGGCAGTAACATTTGTACTACAATATGATCTAGGCAGAAGCCAAGTCACTTCCCCCCCAACGTGCGTTCACCTTGTCGTGGTGGGGGGGCTCAGTAGTAGGAGCCAAGTCACTTAATGGAGCCGAGTTAGCTAGTTGAATAGAATAAAGTAGGATTTTTTTAAATAACGCCTGATAAAAAGGAATAGCAAACACAATATCTCTGATTCTTTATAGTTTAGCGAGTTGGTTTCTTCTTTAAAATAAGCTTGTAACTAGAAGTTATGATATAAGTTTCATTACTGGCGAAAGTAAAAACAAAATTGATGGCAAAAAGTTGTATACCAAAGCATCTATTTTTATGATTATATGTTTAAAGTTGTAAATTGTACTCTTTTTAATTATATGACTTTATTGAAAAGGTCTCTTAAAAATTAGAAATTATAAATAAGTATATATTTTATTTGAACAACGCATACGTCACATTGTAATATTTTGGATTTTGCTGTCAATAAAATCACTCTATAACTCTATATCTTGACATTTGTATAAATAATAATCAAATTTTTATATAAATTCCGACTTTTCTAATAATTTGAATGATGCTTGAAAATTGACCAACATTTACCAGGTTTTACGCGAGCAACCAACAAATATTTGCAATTTTATAGCTAAATATTTGTCTGTACTACTTCTCACAAGAGAGCACGGGATGATGGCGGTGAAAATCCTTGATGACCTCTGTGACTGCAGAGCATCTGTGTCTGAACATCTGTTACAATTGGGCATGCAGCAAGGACAAGCAACGATTCTATCCCAAATTATTAAAGAGGAAATTGAAAGCTTTCAACCTGATAATAAAAAAGGTATTGAATGAAAATATTTTTTAAAGGAAACTATTGATTTGCTCCGGTTTCGCCCTATAAATATAGGAAGGCTAAAATTCGAGTTATGCAATACAGTACCTATAGAAATAAAATTTAGGTTTAGGTCTAAGTGATTATGCGTATGTGATTGGCTTAAAACCGCCAGACAGAGAGACAAAACGTTTTACAACATCAACTCGTCATCATTAATAAACAAAATAGCCAAGAAACTTAAAGAACATTTCCAAGTTTTTGACATTTTTACAACCCCAACATGATATATGAAATACGTATTTACACGAAATACATATTTTATAATAGAAACAATAAAAGAATATCAAATAATGAAGAAGATTTTGAACCGCACTCCTCTGGACGAAGTGATGGCGGCGAAAGTGTGCCAAGTAGCAAGGAACGCGTACCGAGACTATTGGTACAGAAAGAAAACATTAGAAAAGGCAATCTTGTTCTTTAGTTCTTACATATAACTAAAGTTATACTTAACTTTATTAATATAGTATTTAACTAAATAGTGGTAACTTTGCTAATATAATCTTTAACTAAACAAGCAAAGTTACCACAGTGATTTATTTTTGCTTACTAAATCGAATGTAATTTGCTTTTATATCTCGAAATTTTTCGCATTGCTTAGTTTAACCAAGTTAATACAGTCTTTTAAGATGGAACCAGAAGAAGCCTGGGAAGTCGCAGCTAAAAGAACTCTAGAACTATATAAGAGAACAAAACCTTCACTCAGCGAATTAACTCGTGCGACCGAAAAGATACAGGTAGGTATTTTTATATTGTGTAAATCATTCTATTAAAGTCACAGTATTTTACATATTTTTTACTGTCCGTCCTTTAAAAACTTTAATTTATCAATCTCATAAATCATTTATCAAGTAGCTAACCTCATAATTGCCAACATGATAGCCTAATTTTAGTCAGAGAGTGGAACGTTATAAGAGCTAAATTATTAATTCATGCTTGAATTGAATTGCTGAAACATGAAGTGAAATTTACGTCCAAAGTTTCTAATGATATTGTATAATCGTATTACGTATACACACATAGCGTCATGCGAACGGTTATTCCCTTGAGCAACCAGCTCGAAAATGAACCGGAAAACAACCGTGCGAAAGCAATCACAGTCAAAAGTCAACACTATTTCATTTAAATGAATTCTATTATCTCTCATAGTTACTATATAATATCAAATGTGTGTTGATCTTTATGTTATAAAATACATATAGGTATATAATTAGAAAATAGCTATGGTATGGTATCGGTATGGTATGGTATAAAACGGGCTTGTTTCCGCAACTCGACGTCTGCGCGCCTATTTTGCGTGTGTTGGAAATTTTCCAAATGTTTATTCTTGCCAGCCCAGTTCCTCCAGGAACTTCAGCAGTCTCTTCGTCCTACCGAAGACCTCCGGGAGTGTACTAGGGGTGCCAAGATGTTGAGCCTAGTACGCCGCTACACCTGGACAATGTAAGATTACATGTGCAGCCGTTTCATCTGCCCTCATGCAGGCTCTGCAGAGTGGGTTGTCAGTTATACCTAAGTTAAATAGGTTTTTGTTGTTGGGTCCGTGGCCTGTTAGAGCCGCGGTTATCTGTCTGAGCTGAGATCTATTGAGATTAATCAGACGGTTAGTCGTTTTAGCGTTAATGAAATGAAGCGATTCCTTCGCCTGCCTGCAGTCTGCGACTTCACGCCATATATTTTCGTGTAGTCGTCTTGTGTGTTGTCGTATTTGACCTTTGAGTCAGCAAGTAGGTAGCGCCACGATGGGCTCAGGACCTATTGCATTCAGGTCCGATCCTCTTCTTGCTAGCTCGTCGGCCCTATCGTTACCCCACGAGTTACTGTGGCCTTTGACCCATTGTACTGAGACCTTGTTTTGGTCACTTACCTGTGTCAAAGCGCTATGACATTCATAGATCATACCTGAAGTGGTAGAATTACTATTTAATGCCAGTAGTACTGACATGCTGTCTGATAGTATGCGGATAGAGAAGTCTTTGACGTCTTTATTCGCAATTGTTCTAGCTGCCTGAAGGATACCTAGACATTCGGCTTGAAACACGGTGTTGTAGGTACCTAGAAAATAGCTATCTCTTTATTTATGTGCAGGTGGTCACTGCCAGCAGTCCCACCCACGTGTAGACTCTGTCTATATAAACTGTCCATAATCTCTAAACATGATTACCGCTTTATATGAGAGTCGGGTGCTCAAGTTATAAAATATAATCGTGCATATTAAAATTAGTATATTAACTATATAATAAACTAGCATTGCCCGCGGCTCCACCCGCGTTCAGATGACCAAAAAACAATTTTTTAGGTTTTACATATTAATATACTCCTACATTGTAGTATTTACAGTACTTTTTCTCAGAAATGAGATATTTTCCCTCGGTAAAAAGTATCCTACATGTTAACCCGAATAACCAGCTATGACCATACCAAATTTCATCAAAATCCCTCCAGTGGTTGTTCTGTGATGCGGTAACAGACAGACAGACAGACAGACAGACAGACAGACAAAAATTCTAAAAACTATAGATTCGGCTTCTGTATGGATAATAATGTTTATTTTAATAAGATTTTCCAAAAAATATTTAATGTACAGATTCGTCTTAGATACAATTTTTATTATATGTATAAATAATCCTTTTAAAATCGATTTTCAATTAACAGTCTAAAAACTATACATTTTTTTGGGTTTTATATAAATAAATAAATATATTTGGACATTAACACACAGCACCATCTAGTTCATGGTAAGCTACGAGGCTTGTATGCTATGGATACCAGATAGTTGATACACTACACATATATAACTTTAAATACATACATATTATAAATATAAGCACCCATGCCATGAGTACAAACATTTGTGCTCATCATATAAATGAATGCCCCCAGCGGGACTCGAACCCGCTACCGCTGGCACAGCATGTAGGGTCACTACAAACTGAACCAAACGTGTCGTATAGATCACATATCTGTGTATAATCTGCTAAAAAAATAAGAAAATAATTGAATTTTAAGTATGAATTTTACCATAAAACCTTCCACTTCCAGGCAGCCTATAGAGGCTACTACGTCCGCAAAAATCTCCTTCGTCACCTAAAGCCTAAATCGAAGAAAAAAGGTCCTAAGGTGGACCTGTTGGGTCCTCCTTTGGACATCGCTGCGTCCAGGGAGATTGATTTGGGACCTTTGATTGTATGTTTCAATTATTTTTGATTTTTCAAGTTTTAATTTAACCGTAATATGAGGGACCAATCAAATGAAATAATATAATATACTTGTAAGAAAAATCCTAAGTTATTTAAAACTGAATAATGGTTTTTCTAAGATTTATTGTTACAGAATATTGATGTACGTGAAGAAGACATACATGAGATGTTCGATGAACATACCACCGCAACACTTGGTCTCCCATACGACCCTATGAGAATGATCACACACGTGCCTAATTATGAAGAGCATCAGGAAGATTATCCAGGATCCAGGGATAGGATTTCCGGGATTTCCGAGATTCCATCCGAGATGCCTATGTCTAAGATAAGTCAAATAGAACCCAGGCAGAGTCGAGTTCCAAGTGCCATTCCAAGTGAAATATCAGAAGGTAAAAGGGATAACAATTATATATTATAATATTATTGTGTATTTTATATGTTGTATTATTGAAGAATATCAAATGTTAAAAAGCACTGAAATACTCGTATGATATTTGATATTTTTTTTCAATTTATGTAATTAGTTCCCGGGTAATTTGTTACACTGTATAGTATGATATACTATGAACAAGTCAGGCGTATCATCTTATAATATACTCTTCTCTCCTCAAACTAACCTTTAGTATAATATTTTATGTGGACTTCTATTGGTGACATTTGTGTTAACCAGTGCCTAATTTTTAGGAAAACGTCAAAGTCAGCAGCCCAGTAATATAGAGTCGCGCAAAAGCCGTATCGGCAGCCAAATTGAAGGAGGTGAATCTGCCATGCAAAAGATATCTTTTGCAGAGGTAATTTACTACAATAAAAATATTTTCTCACTTGTCTAAAATATTCTTCCATATTTTGTGCAACCTATCTCTTAAAAAGTCTGGGCAAATATTATTATTATGACTAACGAGTAGCTAGCTATGCTGCAACAGGCTACTAATAAATTTTAGTCCTGTCATTAATTATGAAGTCTGTATCCGTTGACCTTCTCGTTAGGTTTTTTCTTTTAATCCAAAAATCCTTGGTGAATAGTAAATATTGTTTTCTGCTAACTTTAAACTCAACAACACATATAATAGGTATCCTTTGAAGTTTGAACCCAAAATTGCTCTTTATAATATTAGTATAGATATGTATGATCTGTTATGATAAACTAACCTCACCTTCTTACCTCAAACTACTCATTTACATATTATTGCATAAATAGGTGCCACCGGAAGTTATACCCGGTGAAGAGACAGTATATGATGAGGAAAACAAAGAAGTACTTGCACCAGAAACACCAGATGTTAGCGAAGTTGGAGCTGGAGAGGGTGTCTCGGAAGACGCTCAAGAAGATTTTGATGATATACCCGAAGATATAACAGGTGAACAGAAAACACTTGATATTAAGTAAATTACTAATAACATAAACAAATCGATTTAGATAACATTGTACGAACTGTGTTCTTATATGAAGCAGCTTGACATGATGTTTGGATTTACTTAAATAAATTATTATTTGCTATACGAAAAAAATAAATCCATACAGCATCACTTGAGAATAGTCGGAGAAAAAAAGTATCAGATAAGCACAATCTCACTGTACCATAAAACTGAAATAATTACTATTACACATGCTTCATACGTGTCTTTATTAAAAAAACGTAGTGAAATTTTACACTATTTAATTAAAAAAGCAATTTGAGTATTGATATTGGTTAAATCTACCTTACAAAATCTATACAGAGAAATCAAATTAAAGTGACTGTTTGTAATATCAAAATAACAGTTGGTTACTAAATGAAACTGCTATTTACTAATGAAAGCTATTTACTAAGGAAAATGTATAGTATATTTAAATAAACACAATTTTTAAAATTTTTGTCTGTCTGTTTGTTCCGGCTAATCTGCGAAAAGGCTGGACTAATTTAAACAAGACTTTCACTCTCAAATAGCTGATGCTAGAAGGATTAACTTAGGCTAATTTTATTTTAGACTAGCGACTCACCCTCGCTTCGCTCGGGTTCGTCCCTAGGTTTATTCCACATACAAACTTTCATCCCCATTTTCACCCCCTTAAGGCATGATTTCCAAGATAAAAAGTATCCTATGTCCTTTCCAGGGTTTCAAACTATCTTCTCACCAAATTTCATCTAAATCGGTTGAGTAGATCCAGAGATTACCCTCACAATTTACAAACTTAACCTCTTTATTATATTAGTATAGAAAAAGAATTAGGGTTCCGCTCAAAAAAATTAAAACACACCTAGGAACGCAACCGAGCGAAGCGAGGATTAGTCATTAGTATTTTGTAAAGTATAAAGCTTAAGTATATTCAAGATTAGAATCTAAAGTTAATTATCTTTGGTGAACAATCTGCTTATGGTACTTGTTACAATATTTAATGTCGACTTGACATTATTTCGTCCTGTAAATGAACGTGAGAAGTTGGCATTACGAAAATTGATTTGTCCATCAGTTCGTTCTTAAAGGCGATTGGGAATTCCGATGTCTACACTCTGAGCGCTTTAATTAAATGCCAAAAGTACAAATTGTATGGTAGAATTGAGAATTGACTAAATGTTGTATTCTTTCTATACATAACCTACATTAAATATTTTTTGAATAATCTTATTTAAGTAGACATTATTATTGATACAGAGGCCGAATCTATAGTTTTTAGAATTTTTGTCTGTCTCATGTCTGTCTGTTACCGCATCACGGAAAAACAACTGGAGGGATTTTTATGAACTTTGGTAAGATGATAGCTGGTTATCCGGGTCAACATATAGGATACTTTTTATTGCGGGAAAATATCTCATCTCTGAGAAATCTATACTAAACGTCAAAACGTAATTCGAGGGACGAACCCAAGCGGGGCGAGGGTGAGTCGCTAGTTAGGTTAATAAATATCAATTTAGTACGAAAAAGTATATAAGTAAATCCTTTTTTGTATAAGTTACTTTTAACTGCAAAAGTAATGTTTAATTATAAATACCATTCAGTTCTTTTTACATCGTATTGTGGCGGCAACCTTTTTCTATATATAAGATATCTGTGGAAACTTGATTAGTTTAAAAACATGAACAATTTATTTAGCCAAAACAAAAACGATTTTTGATCATGATGGTGTAACCCCTTAAGGACTACTTTGATATGTTTTATAATCTAATTATTCATGGTGCTGTATGTTGTACTTGAGAAGTAGATAAATAAATAAAAATAATCTAGGAAATGTGAATTGGAGTGGGAACATGGGAACGTAATGTGTAGTTTATACTTCTCAATTCGCCTACATTGAACTTAATCAATTTACAAGTATATTCATTGCATTATGATATTTATCCTCAGATCATACCGAGGGTGAAGAAAGTATTCCAGCATCAGTTCCATCATCAGCGCCAGAAACTGCAAACACTACTGACGTGGAAGACGAGGGTGGAAACATAGAGGATGTTGAAGAAGGAGAGATCTAAAATATATTTCAATTCATTTTGTTTCACTGAAAATAAATGTTTTTTGGATTCAAAGTTATTATTGATTTAAATGTGGTTAAAATTAATTTTATTAAGTTATTTTATCATTTATAATTTAGATTGAGAAGCGTTATTCATGCACTATTCATAAAAAGTCATTGTACCAACGAATACTTGAGTGAAACTTGAACAGAGAACTAAGTTCTTACTGGTAGTTTTTTAACCCCGATAATTTTTTATTTTCTTTTTAACCATTATTGGGTTATTTTCATGTAACTACCTACAGATAAAAAAAATTACATAATATGTCAGTCACATCATACAATGTAATAAGCAATTTAATTAGTGTTTATTTAATTAGTTGACATACTGAGTTTTACATATTTTTTTTTATTACTGAAGCATAACCTTCCCGATTTTCATAAAACATTCACGACTTATTTGTTGTAATCTTTTAATATGGCAGATTTAATACAAGATAGTTGCAATTTATCGCTTCCTGAAGGTCTTAAGGACCTAATGAGTGATATTACCAGGGAAGTAAGTTCAATATTATGACTTAAGTAATTATAATATTTCTTAAAGATTTTGAATTTCATTAGTAATATTGATATATTATGTAGGTTGTATATTGAAATATTTTTACAACAAAACAGATAATTCTTTAAAGATATTCATCAATATATTTTATAAAAGTGCCTAGATTCGTCTCTTGGAAAGTGCCAAAAAGTTATTACGTTATTTCTGCCAAAGTTCTTCACATTTAGGTTCCATTTGATTGACAAGGGGCCAACCAATGAACATGATATGGGACGTTTCCATTTACAATGTAAAAGTACTTGTAATGATGATCCATAAATATATCTATAAACTTTTTATAAAAATCGAACCTAACATGTTCCCTGATATACGCTACAACTTGAGAAAAACCTCTTATATCTAAATCTGGGAACGGATTTACTAAATAAACAAAGATAACGACGAGATCTTATTACAACAAATATTTGAAGTAAGCATAGACTAAATCTATAGATTCTGCGAACACAGCCCGAGGATGTATACAAATTCATAGCGAACTATCTAGAAGCTTTGATAGAAGTACGGGAAACTCTCGCCATTGCTTGTCGTATTTGTGCTGAAACATGCGAATGTTCTTGCGAATCTGAACTATTTCAGGAATTAAGAGATATAGGCTTGTGTGAGGAAGATGCGGATAATGCTGTCAATATTGTACAGAAATTTCTTGAAAGTGGATCAGGTTATTTTTATAACTTTGTTTCATAAAACGTCCCTAGGTTGATTCCCCATACAAACTTTCACCCACATTTTCACCCCCTTAAGTGATGATTTCCGGGATAAAAACTATCTTCCTACCAAATTTCATCTAAATCGGTTCAGTACATCCAGAGATAACCCCTACAACGTCACAAACTCACAATTCACAAACTCACAAAATTTACCACTTTATGATAGTATAGATTATACCACAGATGACATAATAGTATACCAGACGTTATGTAAGTTTAAAAAACACTAGAACACTATAATTTCCCTCCGTATTTTTTATACTAAAGCTTTAGTACTATATCGTGAAAAACGCAGTTTTACAGTTTTACTTTTGTAACCATTTAAAATATTAGTAAGAATAAATAGTCGACTTCTCACTTCAAAAACAAATGACTATGAAATTAAAAACAGATTCTCTTTTCTTTTTAATCAGTGTTTTAATAATTCACTATAAGACTTAATTTTAGTAAAAGAACAAACTATACTTTCCAAATTGCTAAAAAAAATCAACATTGAGGAAGAACAAGTTATTCCAATTCAAAAAGCAATACAGAGGGTATTCACGCGATACCAGCCTCGTAAAAGTAATATTAGAGTAAGTTATCAATATTTTTTTGTTACTTTTCATATACTTTTTCGAAATTATAATATGATGAAATGTATATATTTAAGTCCTTTAGCCGCATAGACGTAGAGTGGACTGAGTGTTTCTTTGCCAGCCGTCAGCTGAATATGGCGGAAAAGCGAGAGAGAGAAAATGAACGAGCGGCCAGAAGTATTCTGTATTAATTGAAATACGATTAATGCAGATAAATATTCATAACCATTTTACATTCCTTACATTTTTCTTATATTTTTTTAAAATTCCATTTATAAATTCAAATTGAAATAAACGACAGGTAATGGCCGCACGTTCGTTTTCTCTCTTTCTAGAGAGTAGTCAATTTCATGGCATTATAGCCGATTTAGGTGCCGATATTTTTCAAGTTGGACGTTGAAGTTCCATCATTCAATAAACTAGTTGGGCGTTAATTCAATTTATCTATTTAGCTTTTTAGATCTTTGATTTGTCTATTTAGCTACATTAGATTTGATTAAGCGAAAACAATTTATTAATTTAAGTTTTCAAAAATTCAATTACCCTAAATACTTATTTTGACCTTGTTTTTCCTTTTTTAAAACCTTTCATTACAAGAACCATCATTTATGATTTTAATTTATTATGGATTTTACAGTTGCTGAATAACAATAGTATTCATAATAAAAAAATTAAAGACGCTGTGGAACATACAATTGATTTTTACAATAAAGATTATAAGGTGATATTATATTAATAATAAGTAATAAATATGTTGGTACATTAACACACAACACCATCTAGTTCCATGGTAAGCTACGAGACTTGTGTTATGGATACCAGATAATTGATACACAACACATATATAACTTTAAATACGTACATATTATAAATATAAACACCCATGACTGGAGTACAAACATTCGTGCTCATCACACAAATGAATGCCCCCAGCGGGACTCGAACCCGCGACCGCTGGCACAGCAAGTAGGGTCACTACAAACTGAGACTAGCGTGCCGTCAAACAAATGAGATGATATTATAACAAAAAAGGCAGAGATAGCTCAGTAAAAACGAAGTAAAGCAGGTTCAAACCCACTCACAAGCCTTAGTTATTCATGTGTGTCACACTTTCAACATGATTACAATATGTGAAGGAAACCTGCATGTCTTAGAATTATAAATATAGACATCCATAACTGGAGTACAAACATTCGTGCTCATCACACAAATGAATGCCCCCAGCAGGAATCTAACCCGCGACCACCGCGCTGGCACAGCAAGTACGGAACTACAAACTGAGCCATACGTGTCGTTAAAAACTTAACTACTAACTTACATTTCAGGCCGAAGACGAATTCATATCTTCAGAATTTAAGCCACGTGAGTGTTTACATACAAACTATCTATAAACATAAATTCTGTGCCTCTATACACTTGAGTCTTGTGTAAAAAAATCTCAGATATTAGCAATTACAAATTATAGATGAATAAACCACAATTTTTAAACGCTTTTTTGAGCTTTAGTAGCGTGCAAATATCAGATTTCTCACTTTAAATTTTTTTAATCTTTACATTACATTAATAATTTTTTACATCTAGCTTTAGGTCTTCTATTCAATTATATGGGTATTAGGTACAATTTAATCCTTATATCTTTTTAGCTCTAAGAACAGCTTCATCCACTTCGTTAGCAGGATCTTATACTAAGATCCCTCAGTACCACGGTAACCCTGATCCTACAATGCTATCTAAGATATCCGAAGAGTGTTCTTCCTTTGATTACACAATTGGTAAAAAAATAATTCTATATATACGTAACATACACTATATGTAATAATAACAGCGACTGCCCCCGGCTTCGCTCGGGTGCATTCCTAGATGCCTACATACACACACATATATATAATTTTCGCATTGATAACAGAAGAAATTGGATTATATTAGTTTCTAATATGAAAAGTGCAACGACTTCATAACCACTTTTAAAGTGTAACTTTTATTAAGAAAATATCATGAAAATTAGTTCAGTAGTGGCGAAGATATCAAGTAAAACATTGAAAGCGCGCATACGAATCGAGTAACTCATTTAAAGTCTGTGAAAATTATATCTAACTAGAATACTTTTTTGTATTATATATAAATCTGAGTTGCACATTCGAACAGCGCAATCTCACACCAGAGCTCAAGAAAAATTATTATTATAAACATCCTAAGCCAACCTTTTGTATACTTTTTATAAATCTTTCTTATTTAAGATACATCTCAAGTTATACAAAAAATAACATTCAGTAAGTCTTACTCACCGCTAACTGAAGATGAACAAAATGAAACGTTTGAATGTAGTCACGATATGGATATTATTTTAGATAATAATCAAAATGTTCAAATAACTGGAGATTGTAATATACAAGAAGACTCCGTTAGTGAAGAAATCTACGAAGAAAACAATTCAGAATGTTCTTCCATAGAAGAGTCTTTACATAACAGCCCATAATCATTTTAGTTATGTTTGATCACTTGAAGAAATTGGTTATTATTTCTATTTTATTTGGCTAGTGCAGGTTCGAATCTTGTTATATCATTTAGTACTGAAATTCAAAGTATAGGACACTTCTGTCACTGTCCACTCTATAAATAATATGTATGTAAAAGATAAGGTTATGCTTTTCAATTTGTTTTTATAAAAAAATCATAAACAAATTAACATATGTAAGTTGAGAAATTACCTTTTTTTGTAAATGTACTTTTTTTTATTTACCGAAATAATTTAGTGGACTGTTAAAAATGCCTTATCTAAAAAAACAACTATTAATTTTTTAATCAAATATTTAATTAATCAAATTATGAGTCTCCTTACATACTAATCGTAGGGCAAACAATTTTGCTACACAATGATATTTTTGGTAAACACTATAATATAATAAAAATAATAAAGCATTTATAACAACAAAATTAAAAATATATTTTTGTCATATTCCTCATATACATATTCTTAGCTATTAACCGAGGTTTCTGATGCAATATAACTGTATCCATTATAGCTTGGCCTCTTACAACTACCTAACTATAAGCCACGGCTAACAGCTAGTACACGAACAACACAATTACTCCAAATAAATTTTCTCATTACTCTAAAATATAATCTTTAAACTATACAACAAAGTAACTTAAAATAATTACATCAAATAATGTGGAGAATAACAAGTGTTTTATTAAAATAGCACACATAGAATCTATATACGAGTATTCATGTAAAGGCGCCTTGCAAAGCAGATTTTTACGTAAATTTCATAGAGAGAAAACTTACCTGAACAGATTATCGATTAAAACAGGACATTAAAAGCTAAAAATGAATGAAACCTCTCTATCTTTTCAAAACTTTACGTCAGCATCTGCAATACAAAGCTTAAACTATATAAAAGTAGACTAATGTTAGAATTATATATTAATAATATGTAAGAAATCACAGCTGATCTCGATAAATACTAAATTACGCAAAAGGCTATTGCCAAAGCTAAGGTAACATTAGAACTGGTGTTTTTGGTAAAATCATGCGTAAGACTAGCGTATTAGATTTGCTTAATTGTTCATCAATACTTTGGCTTCCACAAGATGACATTCGAATAAAAATCTAAATGACCATTTGTCATTTCTATATATTTTTAAATATCTACATATTTGTAAGCTGTTTTAGAATGACATCTTGTTATAGCCAGCTTAATATATGTTATATAAGCATATATAATATATTCTATAACAATTTAATCGAAGTTACCTATAAAATAGTATACAATAACAATCTCTCTCCCTTTCTCTCTCTATCATACATCATTCAACAAAGATAAAAGTAACGTCATGTTTTGTCTCTTTTTTCTATAAGACACTTATTTACTTAGTAGTATAATTCCAATTACCTGTAATGTGAATAGATATTATGTTATGTCAAAACCATAGACATATAGAGTGGACTGAGTGTTTCTTTGCCAGTCGTAAGCTAGGAATGGCGGAAAGGCGCGACAGAGACAAAACGAAAGTGCGGCCAGAAGTCTTCTGTATTAATTGAAATACGATTAATGAACATAGGTATGTGTAGCTTTATTTTTCTATCACACTGTGTTATAATTTTTTTACATTAAATTTATAAATTTAAAATGTAATAAAAGACAGGTAGGTACCTCAATAAGTACCAATGGCCGCACGTTCGCTTTCTCTCTTTCTAGAGAGTGATCAATATCATGAAAGTACTTATTGCTCAATCCATTCTCTACGTCCATGGTCAAAATATAAGTGAAAATGAATTATTTATTAATTTAAATATCATGGACATTGCATGAATAAATAAAAATAATTTATAGTTTATTTATCACAAACTGTGTACTAGTATGAAAGAATTAGTTCATTTAATAATACAATATTTTCATTTAAAATAATATATTTGAAAAACTATCGTAATAGCTACCAACAACAATTTCTTACGCTCTATAATATAGTTTTGAGCCACCGAAAATGTATATGAGAGATCTAAAACGCACTTTGGTATATTCCAATTTAGACTGAACGTATTCTGTCCCTTTACAGTGTAGGAACCGAAAAAAATATAATTAAATTTACTATGATATATCTCCGTAACGTAATTTATATACAGAATGATTAAATTAATCAATTTAACAAGAAATTACTATAAAATTCTTCTTCTTTTAATGACTAAGCCACAAACTCATCTGACCCGGTGGCAAAAACTGGAACTACGTGTTGCCATTTTGAAATGTCACATTGCTGTCAAGTGTTGTCTTGGAATCCAGCCTCTAAACCACCCAGATGATCATAATTATAATATTAAAATATAATTCATTGAAAATATGTTTTAATTATTATTCCTTGTTCTATCATTTTGTATAACAATGTCTAAAACAAAAAATTAACATTACGATTACTCCTTGTGCACTTGGGCTGTGTTATTATTTTTACCCTAAAACTGCGGAAATTCTATTTACAGGCATACTAAATTCAACAACAGCGACGCCGTTACCAAGTCAGATAAGTTTATGGCACTGTAATCAAATCAATGTTGAATCAAATGTGTGTGAATTTTAATAATACGAATGATTGAGGTTTTTACGTTATGTCATAAAACTGGGAGTAATATTTTTTATTCATTAGACGCTAATATACAAACTATTTGCGACGAACTATCTCGTTCAATAGAAGTTGAAAATCGAATCCGAAATATTCGTCCTAATGTTCTACAGCTACAAATATTCCCACTGAATACAGTATTTATTTATTAAATCTTATATTTGCGATATTTAATAGGAAAATTTAAACCAATATAAATATTTACTTAAAAGCACCAAAATATATTGTGATATGTAACATACATGATTGTTTTAAAGCTTAAACTATAACGCATGAAAGTATTGGCGGTCACCACATTCCCATATTAGTTCTGACTTCTGTCACAGAACGAACATGTGGAAGGAGTAACATTCAATCTGTACGTCCATAGAAAGGAAGTAATAAGAACTACTTAGTGTTCTGTTAGTATTACTGCTATTTTGAGTTCTGAAAAAATCAAGGGTTCACTGCTAATAAAACTGTTGCATTCTAACAGCGCAAAATCACTGTTTTACGATTTTCCTCAAGTTATTTAAAAATTTCAACTAAATCATTCGACTAATTTTATAATGCACAAACATACAAATCTTATAATTAAAAGTGATTTATGTACTATTTTACAATTATTTTACTTTTTATGTCAGACTTCGAAAACTTATATGGTGTCCATACCGCCTCCCATTAGTTTGTTTCCATATTCACTCAACAGCTGAAATCGTATAAGAAATACATTAATACATGAATAATTTATAACTTAAACTAATGCAGTATATGAAAATCGATTTTATCATTAAAATTAATTTTATTTAGTGCAGCTATATATATGGTACAGAGAAAAGGCTCACATAAAATTGAAAATATCGGTATAAGTTATCTATCTAGTAAGATCACTGGTCGCGTCTGCCGTAAGAATTGAACACAAAACTACGACCCCCTTAGACCCCAATCCTCACCATTCACAAAATAGGTTTAGTTGAAGCTGTTGTAAATTCTTAAAAATGTTTAACTTTTATGACCCTATTTATAAAAAAAATGTTTAATATAAAATATGTTTTTAAAGTTAAATATAAGCTAAATTTAGAGATACTATATTCTTTTGTATCATATAGTAAGAAACTGTCGTATGTAATACAGCCTTGGTCTAATACAGTCGGCAGTAACAAACTGAAGTAAGCAACTTATAACTTTGTAATAATTATACAAAACCTTACCCTATACAAAAATATGTAGTGGTGTCGATTGGTGAGCGAGTGCGGGCGCTGGTCGCGCAGCCGCCGCACAGTGCGCGGCACGTCGGCGCGGCCGGCGGCCAGCGCGCGCGAGCAGATGTCCGCCGCCACCAGCGCCGCCGAGCGGCCCGCGCCCGACGCGCACACCACCGTGCACGGACGGATACCTGGCATCGGGAAAAAATATCCAAATATATAACTAGCGACTTACGGTGAAGGAAAACATTGTTAAACCTGCATGTCTGAAAGAACCTAGCAAGTTTTCGAAAGACATGTAAAGTCCGCCAACCCGCACTTGGCCAGCGTAATGGACTACGGCCTGATCCCACTCGTATTGAAAGGAGGCCCGTGCCCAGCAGAAGGACGGTAAAAAGGGCTTAATACACATAACTAGCGACTTGCCCTCGCTTCGCTCTGGTGCGTCTCTACGCGAATTGTCTTCACAATTTCAAGGGTTTTAATTTTTTGCGCGGAACCTTAATTGTTTTCCCATAATAAAAGTAGCCTAAATTACTGCTTATAACATCAGCTATCTGCCAGGGAAAGTTCCGTCAAAATCGGTCCAGCCGTTTCAGTGATTAGCCGGAACAAACAGACAGATACACAAAAATTTTTAAAATTGTTTTTTTCTTATAAGTATCGTTAAAAATAATGCTACAGTTTGTACCCATTTGCAATTAATTATAAATAATTTTTATCGTACACTACATATTTTTGACAATATTAATATGACATACCCTCAACTTCTGAGGCAGCTTTCAATTTACCCAACGTGCCATTAGTAGGGTTGCTCTTCCTCATCAGCTCTTCAGCTTTCGCCGGAGAGTATACATTCAATCCATTGCCCGATCCATTTTCATCGCTACGTAGCTTTGATAGATTGTGATAAGAAGACCGACTCTGATCTTGATATATTACTTCAACTCCTGCAAAAAATATTAGCAATTTGAACATTCAGAAAGTATGTGCTTTATTATTTAACTGTTATATGCTAAAATATCAATTCCATCAAAATGGAGTCATAATAATAGTAAACTCACCTTCTTCATCATATTCTCTTGCCGTTTGTGACACCTTCATATAACTTCTCATTTCTGATAGAAAGTCAATAACTGAGTCGTAATCATCAGGGACTCCTTTCGCTGGCCAAAAGTACCACATATGAGTAACTTCTCTCCAAGTTCTCGTCGAAAGATTTATCAACTGAACGCTAGATATAGCGTATTTGTCCTTTTGTTCACGCTTTTTCAGTATAATTTGAAACTCCCCGAATGTACGTTTGCTGTCGGATATTTCTGATGGTGGTAAGTATTCGTAGCATTTCTCCTGGAATGGGAAAATTATCATATGAAAACTATTATTACAATTATATTATAGGAGTATATATATGTATGTATTAACTCCTATAATATAAAACCGCCAACCTGCACTTGGCCAGCGTGGTGGACTATGGCCTGATCCCCCTCGTATTGAAGGGACCGTGCCTCAGCAAGTAGGGTACTTAAAAAAGGGCTGAATACAATTATATTAAAGGAGTATACATATGTATGTATATTAATATATACAGCTGCGCCGACTGTTAGTCAATATTATAATATGCTAGTAATAGGTACATATTTTTATAATAAAATCCGAAATAATAGAAAATAGCGAACTACAGCAAAGATAGCTAGCCTAGATAGGTATTTATTTCTATAATTTTTGTCATTACCAGTCGGAAATATTTATTGTCTTTAAAAAAATACAATCTGTAATATTGCATCAAGCGATAATGTCGCTTTTAGTGATAAGTATGTACAACATCTCGACTCGATATATGAAGGAAAATATGAAATAAGTAAAGTTTAATTTTTTAGGAAAATACTTACAACTCCATTCTCCATATACTCAGTGAGCATGACGATTAGTCGCGAGTTCTGTTCCCAGATCATTCGCCAAAAGTCAACGACGGTGTTAGCGAGCGGCGCCTGACAAGCTATGTAGTAGTTGCGAATGTTCCCAGGACCCTAGAAATCGTAAACCTTTTATTTATATATACTCATTTACTATTTTATAGAGTAAGTTTTAAGTTTCAAAAACTTAACCTCAATATCCCTATTTTCACGCTTTTCAGGAAGACTTTCTTAATAGGTAGATAGATAAGTGGTTTTTTGACTCTCTTCGGACAATTACCTTCCATCGTCGATATGTTTATAGGAAAATCGAATGTCTAATATAATAAACGCATAATGTACAAAAAAATATTTCTGTCTAACGTAGAAACGTAGAAATACTTACATATTTGCAAACATGGTACATATACCTATAATTATGAGTAGAAATTCCATTTGTTCTTTTTGGATATAAAATAAATACCAGAACAATTATTTTATACTTAATACTTTCTAAGATTTACGCAAATATTTGATATTTTAAATAAAACTAATTTTTTTTTCAGATATTTTATGTAGGTAATATATGTATTTCTTACCGTGATATAGTTCGCGTTTATATACTCTGTAGTAGGATCATTGCCAATCCTCCTCAAAGGTACCCTGGTCTCCGGCAGCGGGAGGACGTTTGAGTATCTGTTTTTATCTTCACAGCCTGGAGGCACTTCATCAGGTCGAACAGTCACCGACGGAATTTCGGAGAATTCAGCAGTAATTGAGTCCATGTCCATTGCAAAGTTGGCTAAAGCTGGATATTGCATTGGATGCGAGGTAACCTGTAAGCATAATTATTTCATATATTTAAGTCTTAATAAAATATTATAGATTGCGTTCTCGATCTCGATTTTACAGGCGGTCATTGGTTTGACTTTTTCTTAAAATGACGACTTAGGTACATTAGGGGCCACTTCATATTTGTCAAAAAATATATAAATTATTTATTGTAAAGGAATGCTATACTAGCTCAAGCGACGATTTTAAATCTTTTAGCCACTTCAAAGATGTTGAACAAAAACACCAACCCTGCATTGACCTCACTTAAGTTGCCATCTTGACTTACGTTAAAATAATAATATTTAACAACTAATAAAATATAAGCCATTCAAATTTTCTTTTTAAAACCATATATTCTTTTCCATCTCACCAGAACATGAAACCTCCATAAATAAACGAAAATTTTAAAATAAAGTGTTAATTCACATTTCAGCTATTTTAAGATCGTATAGTTGAGCACGGACTTATCCACAATGTGACATAATGATAAATTAGACTATAGTCCACCAGGCACTAGACTAGCCAAATGTAATTTGACTAACTTTCTTCGTCTTTTAACAACTAGTTGGGTCAATTAGCATGCAAGTTTTACCGAGTTCATTTTCTTCGTCGTATTAGCAATTGGTAATCACGGAGGAAATGAGATTCGCATGAGACATGAAAATCTCAGAGAAGCTAAACCTGAGCTTCGAACCCGCTTCATTGTGACACCAAAGCGAGAATAAGCTACCACTACTGTCCTATTACCTCCTTTTGATTACTCTCACCTCGTCGTCATAAGCAGGGTTGCCATAACTTCGCTTACTGGCTCGCAGTCTATGGTTCCCCTTCCTATGGCCGACACTGACGCTGTCCAGACTGTACGCATCTAGAGACACGGGGGTGCATCGCTGAGCGTATACACCTCGACGACCACGGCGGCGGACTACCAACTGAAAAGGATAAAAAAAATATATTTAGTCTAATTTCACCCATTAAATACTATTACAACTTAAACTTAAGTACAAATATCAAAATATTAATTTATATAAGAGTAAAACATTAAAAAATACAATATAATAAAATAATGCAAACAAAAAATTATCCATATTTATTTAGTGCTCGGTTATACTTGTATTCAAATTTTCACAGAATTTGGAACCTAATGAAAAATAATCTATAAGACATAAACACAGATAACGTATATATTAGGACTATTTATTTTGAAATAATATTATATCGATTTAGTACTAAGAAATTAAATCATATATCTGTTTGTTTGTTTGCATGGCGACTCGCGCTATTCATTTAGAAGCTGTAACGGATCTCACAGCACAAGCTTTCATTGCATCATTTCGCAGATTTGTTGCTAGGAGAGGACCTTGTCTACATTTATGGAGTGACAATGGGACTAACTTTATCGGTGCCGCTAAAGAGCTTAAAATACTTTTCGAAAAGGGCAAAGCCAACATCACAGAGGAAATTGCAGAATTATTGGCCAATGATGGGACGACGTGGCACTTTATCCCTCCGAGAATGCCGAATTATGGCGGTTTATGGGAGGCAGGCATACAATCAGTTAAGAGACATTTAGTACGAGTGAACAAATCTACAAAATTGACTTATGAAGAGATGGCTACACTATTGGCGCAGATAGAAGCATGCTTAAATTCGCGTCCATTGTGTCAACTTGATGATACTGTCGAAACGCTAAATCCACTTACACCAGGGCACTTTCTGATAGGAGAACCCTTAATCACTGTGCCTGATGTAAATTATGAATTGAGGAACATTAATCTACTCAGCAGATGGCAGATGATACAAAGGATGACACAAGATTTTTGGCGTCGATGGAGGTTAGAATACTTGAACACTATGCAGCAACGCTATAAATGGCAAACTGAGATACCGTCACCGAATATCGGAGACATCGTTATTATTAAAGAAGACGATTTGCCACCAGCTAAATGGTTATTAGGACGTGTAAAAGATGTGCACCCAGGATCAGACAGTTTAGTTCGCGTTGTATCCGTCCAGTGTAAAGGCAATAATATTTTGAAGAGACCTCTATCCAAACTTATAATTCTTCCTAAAGAAATAAAAGACCAAACTTAACTAAAGATGAATTCTAACTTAATTTAACAATTTGAAATCTAAAATATCTAAAGGTATTATTATGATGAATTTAGTTCACGCGAATGTCAATCACTACAATAAATTTATATTTTATTAATGTTCTATTTAAAAAAAAATGTATTTTCGCTACTACAGTTCAATAATGTAATTTATTTAGCTAATGTAGTTTGTAATGTTCTTTTTACATGTATAAGATTTCGAAATTTAGAGATTCAGTTATGCAATGTTGTTTGTAATTCATTGAAAACATCTATATACAGTCCACTAGTTAAAATGTTGATTCATTGAATAAAATGTTGATGAAAATGTAAATCGTTGTATACGCTTTGGTGGGCGGAATGTTCGATACTTTATAAAGGTTGTGAATGAATGAATATGGTATATGCTATTTGTTTAGTCTCATTAAAGATATTGTCAAGACAACACGTATTATCAATATTCACCCGCTGCATCGTACAATATTGAACCGTAATGCACAAAACAACATCTTTGGTATTTTCGTAAAAAAAACTCTTTGGCTATGTATTTATATAATATTGTTCATACAAAAATATAAAAAACGCGATTAAAATATGGGAGTAGGGGTTCGAGGGGGTAAATACTTTACGACCTATTCTCATACCTACCACATTTACAAAAAGAACATTAAAATCGGTCAAGCCATTTCGGAGGAATGCGACCACAAATACCGTGATACGAGATATTTTTATATATTAGATTAAAATGTAGCATAAACAAAACAATCTCAAACGTGGGAATAGAGCTTGTAGGTCATTAAAATGCTTAGCTGACGTCAAGAAACGTAATCAAATTAGCACTTGACGCTAGTTAGCCACTTCTAGGTATCGTCGCTTTAGGCTCGCACTTTACACTTCAAACTTTTATTTATTACCTATAACTGCTTGTGCTCATTATACTACGATAGTGTAATGATGTTATTAAATGAGACAACCTTTATGTTTCAGGTCCTGTTCATTACTATCTTATAGGTTTTACATAAGTAGATACCGTGAGCCACACTACACCTAATATACTTATCCTTCTTTCATGGAGAAGTGGATATAAAGGTCATTTGTTACTTCTAGTTACTAGTTTGTAAGAAAAACAGTGATGTGAGCAACATTTTTTCTCGATACATCGTTATATTTAAAATGTCAATTCAATTTAAATCAATTCAATTCAAAATATTCGCGTAAATCTAAGAAAGTATTACATCGTGTTACTAATATTTCTATTGATTTTAAATTATTTGTTACCAATATTTTTGCACATTACACATTTGGACCTAGGTAGTATATTTTTTTTCAATATGTTTGTTAATTGTATTTATTTACGTTACATACGTTGCAGATTCAAAAGGCTAAACAATTTTTTCCTTTATTTTTAATACATATTGAAGGGAGGCCCGTGTCCAGCAGTGGGGCGTTATAAAGTGCTGAAATCCAAAAATATTATAACAATATAATGAGGTAATTTATTATAACCGTGCCGTCTCGTGTAATGGGACCGCGCCGAGAGGACCGTCATCATCTAGCGTTGTTTATAATTCGCATTGTAAAAACATCCTTTACGTCGCGATACGGCGACACTCAGCTTAGTAAGAGACTTCGTAATGAGAAATTACGAGAAAGTATTGCATAATTATTATATTTTCTTATACGTATTTTTTTTTTACATTTTTACTTTACTTATAATTAACTAACGACTCATTTCCCATACGTTTTAGCGGTTAGTATAGATTTCTCATCTCAAAGATGAGATATTTTGCTGCAGTAAAAAGTATTCTATATGTCGATTCAGATAACCCGCTATCATCATACGAAATTTCATCAAAAACTGTCCAGTGATTTCGTTCTCGTGATACGTTCCCAAACAAATAGAGAGACAGACAGACACAGACAGACAGAAAAAATCTAAAATCTATAGATTTGGTCTCTTTTTAAATATGTATCTATATGAATGTAAAAATAGTAATAAAAAAATATTTCGTACTAACAACATTGCTCGGCACATTACTAATATTATTATCCCCGCGGCTTTTTTTGAGTGATACGTTGATAAAATCTACATGTCTCTATTTCAAATTTCATTCAAATCCATTAAGCCGTTAACAATAAAAAAGTAACAAACAAACACACTCACAAAATATCGCATTTTTACAATTAGTGATATATTAAACCTAAAAAAACAGTATATGACGCGAAATGCGTTATTAAATACATAATAGTGTACATTCTTATCTAATATATAAAATTCTCTTGTCACAGTGTTTGTAACAAAACTCCTCTGAAACGGCTTGACCGATTTTTATGAAATTTTGTGTGTATATTCAGTAGGTCTGAGTATAGAACGTAAACTACTTTTCATACCCCTAAGTGATAAAGGTGGTCCAACCTATGGAAGAACCCGAGCGGAGCGAGAGTGAGTCGCTACTACAACTATGTAAAGAAAATTTACATAAGAACACAACATTAATAGAATTAATAGCCAATTAATTTAACTTTTACAATGCAAATTTCAAAATAAACTATTGTATAATATGATAATTGCTATAATAAACAAAACTAATACATAATATTTATATAAAAAACATTTTCAATGTGCAATACTTCCTCGCTGCCATCACTACCAACCGAAATGCCCTAAAGTGCGCCCAACGCCCTGAAAGTAAATCAGGCATCAACAACTCACAACTCTACTGTGAGGTAGAGTGCGCGTGCGCATCTTTAGCTCTCTTATTTTTATTATATTTTTATAAGTATTTTTTTTACTTTTAGGTAATTTTGTCATATATTTACATTTATACTCTATATTTGATGTTATTTATTTATCTAAATAATAATAGTAAAAATAAATATAATAACATTTGTAATATAAAATATTTTTAATACGGTAAAAAAAAAGTGTTTATTATTATATTAATATAATTTTATATTTTATTAACATATTTCATTTTTTTACGATTATAAGCAATATCTATGTATATATTCAAATTATTTCATATGTTCTTTTTTTAATCATACTTATAAATATTTTGACTAAAAGAAAATGAAAGTATATTTTCAATGTGTTGTGCAAGGAGTTTGGCGGTATATTGACGGTAAGCAAATACATTTATTACTTATGTATACTAATACATATTATAAAGAGGCAGAGTTTATTTGTTTGTTTGAACGCGCTAATCTCAGGAACTATTAATCCGATTTGAAAAATTAATTTTACATTAGATAGCCCGTTTATTGGGAAAGACTATAGATATTATAAAGAAAGATTTTTTGTTTGTTTGTGTGTTTATACCGAATAAGCTCCGAAACTACTGAACCGATTTAGATAAAATTTATAAGAAGATAGTTTGAAACCCTGGAAAGGAAATTGGATAATTTTTATCCCGGAAATCATCCCTTAAGAGGGTGAAAATGGAGATGAAAGTTTGTATGGGGAAGCAACCTAGGGAAGAACCCGAGCAAAGCAAGGTTGAGTTACTAGTATAATCATATTTATGTATATAAATTCTACATTAAAATATGCAGATGCTTATGCCTGCTTTCATCAACGTCACCTAAGTTTAAGGGATCCCCTAAGCATGTTTAGGGGGCTGTTAGGGGACAGTTTCTGTTTCACCGACAGTTAGGGGTCACCTAAATATTAAAAGGCCCCCTAAATTTAGGTACTCGAAATATGAGCTTAAAGACAATCGTAAAACGAAATTTAATTTAGGGGCTAGTTTAGGGGACTTTTAAGCTAGGGATCCCATACGTAGGTGGTAACTTATGGATGGTTGGTGAAATCGGGCATGAGTCTTTTAGATGTAACATTT